CATTATGAATTGCCGTTTACACCAAGTGTAATAAAATCAGAATCATTCTCGCCGAAATTTTGGTGCTTCCCTAATTCGATGTTTTAATTAGATTAGATTAGTTGTCCGGTCGGGCAAGTAAAATTCTCTTTCACTTGCCCCTTCAAAAAATGCACACAGATCATCAAAAGCATTCTCTCGCGCACCCCTGCTGGTCGGTCTGTGCACCCCTAGGGGTGCGCGCATTCCAGTTTGGGAACCGCTGGTTTAGACAAAGCAGGATGAAAACATACCCAACAACTACACCAGATAGCAAAGAGATTTGGCATGTGCATGTTTAATTTTAATCCACGAGGGGAAAACAAAGTTATTTAGCCATTGTATTGCTACATTGCTAATACTTTGGAAAAGTAGGTAAAAAGCACACTTTTGAGAACACCTAAAAATATGAAAGATAGTATGTGTGTGTGTATATAAATGTGTAAATTAATATGCAAATTCATGTCCCATTTACACTTAATGTTGTCACATTTTCCTGGTTAAATAAACATTACTTACAGTAATTGAACTACAAAAAAAAAAAAGTATTTTTTTACATTAACAATGTAATTACGGTTCTATTTATTACAAAAAAAAAAGTATCTCATTAACCCTTTAGGCGCCAGGGATTTTTGGGAAAAATGCTGGATTTTGACATCAAGATTTCAAAAGCTTGTGGCTTGAAAGGGCTTAAAGATAGAGATCTACTGTAAATTAGAAAAATGTTGGGCGTGACCGAAAGTTTATGTGGGGTGTAAATATACTCGTCTAATTTGCATATTATGACGTCATCAGAGGCGGCCATCTTAAATTTAATAATATTCAGAAAATAGTAGATATTGAATTGATGTTTGAACTTATTTGCATGTTTTTTAAAAATCTTTTTATCCTCATTCCAAATGATCAGAAAAGAGGAAACCAACAATAAAACAGGAGCGCATAAATACTCAGTAATAATAAGTACATATCAAACAATCTGTAATAACAGACATATCAATATTGATCACGTAATAAAAACAGTTACTCACTCTTGTGTGGTGGGACGTACTGTAACTGTCGGATCAAATATCGTCAGCACAGCATTGTCTTTTAGTTTCAATATTTTTGAAAATCCCGCGTTGAATTGTGCCTTGTTTGTAAACGATTCCGCAGTAAAATTAAGTGAACAAAAGACCAAGTTCTTACTGATTCGGTCTGGCACTTCATTAAAAATAAAGTAATAAAAAACAAATTAAATTGAGATCATGATTCTCCCACGAATCTGAAGAAGACAAAAATGTCTAAATAAAATAACATGTAATTTACTAGAGGTTCTGACAAAAACATTAATTTGAACAAAATAATTAAAGAATAATTTTAATGAATGAGTCCATGTCTCATTCACAACAACTTGTTTGGTTGTCGGATGAATCAGTGTTTGTGAATGAATCTCTTGAATTAATGATTCAGTGACAAATACTTTGTTGCCACCTACTGGCGTACCAAGATGACCAATACAATATATACAAGTGTACAAATTTTCAAAATGTTAATTTTACTCTATTTTGGTACCACAGACATCAGTATTTCTACCCAAACTATTTTATCCGTTCTTCTGTTGTTCAAATGTTTGTAACACAGAAATAACAATATTGTGTGGTTAAAAAGATTGTTTGTGAAGCTGTTTCATTGTACAATTACATGGCAGCTGCTCTCACTGGATCAGCAGCATCGCAAACACAGATTTTAATGTTGCATTGTGACAATCGTACTTTAAAAATATGTATCCAAAGTCCCTAAAGTCTTTGGTATAAAGTCTGTTTCATCAGATTTTTGGGGAAAACAACACTTATGCTTAGAAAGACTGCATTTATTTGACCAAAATACAGTAAAATGATAGTATTGTGAAATTATATTACAATTTAAAAGAACTATTTTTTATTTTAACAGTTTAAAATGTGGTTTATTTTTTAAGAAATAGACCCCAACGAGTCTGTGTCAATGGATTCTCATTTGATTATACAGTCCTGAATTCAGGGTTACCACAAGGATGTGTGTTATCACCTCTGCTTTTTTCTGTCTATATTAATGAACTTCAATGTAACAGTCCTGCTTCTTTCTGTCTGTATTAATGAACTTCAATGTAACAGGGATGATCTCACCCTGATCAAATACGCTGACGATTTGGTTTTAATCTCTTGCCAATTGGACATGAATAGTTTAACTTATTTTGAGTATATTGAAAGTCTTGCTCAGTGGTTTGATGATAGACACTTACAATTGAACATTGAGAAGACAAAGGATTTTGAATATTTAGGTACAATCATTGATGACAAACTCTCATTCCAGGAAAATGTGGACCATATACACAAGAAAGCAAGACAGCGTTTAGGTCTACTCAGGAAACTAAGAAATTTTAGCATCGATAGGAGGGTCCTAACCATTGTTTATAGATCGATGATTGAAAGTATTTTAACATATACTATTGTATCATGGTATGGCAATTTAACAATGAGACAGAAAAATAAATTAACACGAGTAGTTAATGAAGCAAATAGGATAATCGGCCAGAAACAATGCAAGAGCTGTTTTTACACTTTATGGAAAAAAAGGCGTTCGTAGTATATTCAGACCAATCTCATCCACTTCATTCCTGCTTTGAGGCCCTTCCTTCAGGGCGCAGGCTGCGTATACCGCTGGCTAAAAAGAACCTATATAAAAGATCATTTGTACCATTGGCGGTGACTGTTTTAAACCAAATTCTTAATTGAGGTATTATCATGAGGTATCTTTCTGGGTAAGTGTGTGTACACATGTGTATGCATATGTGTGGGCATACATATATATTGTATTGTATTAATTTTTAATTTTTTTTTTGTTATGTGATATATGAATGTATATATGTTAGGATGTATTTTCTATGCCAGTGTCAAAGATGCATTTCTGTTCAGGAAATCTGGACAGACAATAAAGTTAAACTAAACCTTATTCCTGTGAATGATAACGTCACGATAGCTGGCCATCTTAGCATTCACATTTTGTTGCTGTTAGTATTTGGAATTGTGTTTCAGCATATGGATCTCGTCAAAGGTCTTTGTAGCGTTTCTTTGTTGACAAAGCAGGATGGTATTATACAGAACAACTAGAGCAGATACCACAAAGTTTTATCATGTGAAAATTTTAATCCACACCAGGAACATAGCCATGGCTTTGTTTTGTGGAACAATAGACATCTCTGTTTAAAGTCCCCAGTTCTTCATTGCCCCACATATGGACTGCTCAATTAATGCATGCAGCTCTGGTCTGTGTGTGTTATGGCTGCGATTTCGCTGGCCAGAGAGGGAGAAATTTGAGAAACGTGGTGGGATTTCAAATAATATGCTTTTGCCAATATTTCCTGAAAGCCGACATTGAGCACGAGCGTTTCGTAAGCGCAGTTAGACCCTGGGCACTGGATCGACTCCACTCTGTGTGTGTGTGTGTGTGTGTGTGTGTGTCTGCTCTTTGTTTAACTCTTGGCAGTAAATGTCTGATATAAATACTGAAATCTGACTATGCAGAAAAGCACAGTAACGTAAACACCTTGATTCTTGCTATAGAATCTCTGCAAGCCTTATAATGATGAACGGATGAAGCAGATTTTGAGGAAGCAACTCTTAAACTGGAGCTTGTCAAGCTGCATATAATTTAAGACGCTGAAATACAGTCACGCTTCCATTGAAAAATCATTGCATTATAGTCTCAGCCTGACTATTAAATATCAGCACAAAGTCTGGTCCACTTTTTAACTCATTCTTCCCAAGAATAGGCCTGACTGTCTTTTTATGACACCAACCACAGATTTTCACTGCATTCCGAACGGGATAAATACGCCTCGTAAGGGCACTTTGTAGTGAGAACAATCATGGACGCCATATTGAAGGGTTGTTCCAAACCAAAGGGGCCCTTTCAGAACAAAGGATTTTAAAGGGTACAGCTGTTCAACACTTTTTGGTTCCATAATTCTTTGCGCAGGTTTGTGATGCAGAAGAGCGTTCCAAAGAACTGTTTTTTTTTTGGTTCCCTCCACCTTTCTTCCTCTCAAAACTCTCACTCTGAAGGGTAAATGTTTTTAAGTGATTAGAGCTTAGAGATTTTTTTGTTGTTGTTCTGTAAAGGGAAGGGTTTATTTGAAATGATTGATAATAACAGGCTGAATGCTACTGTCAGATGTTATTTATTTCTTTATTTCCTACAAATATATCATAGTTTGTTATTAAATAATTCCTAGGAATCAGCCCAAAAAAAGTGTGTATTTTGGAATGTCTGGAAAAGTAGGAAAAAAAAAAAACTTATGAAGTATATACGTTAATTATGCGTTGTTCATAATAAAACTAAAATTATGATAATCATTTAAAATGTGTATACAAAATACAAATACACATACAATAAAATACAAATACACATAAATATACACAACCATTAAAAAAGTTTGCATTCTTTACGGTTTTTGTCAAATCTCCACAAAAATCTGTGTAATGGATCATATAATTTGATTTGATTTTTTTTATTTATTTACATTTTTTATTTCTATCTATATTCATATATTTATATTTATTTCTATATTATATGTGAGAAACTATTAGATCTTGTATTTACAGCTGTTAGTTAATTATTTAATTGATATTTTATTTGTAGTATTTTGTAGCACATTTAGTTTCTTTTTTAAACAAAATGTTTATTAGCCTACATGTATGGCAGTCTTTGTGGTATATGCATATCCAAACTGTATAATTACAATGATTTTTTTTTCTCACCACACCAATATGCAAATAACATGCAAATCAGCAACAAATCAAATGAACAAACATTTCCTGACACTTTATGGTTTTAATTTTACATGTAAAAAGGTGTTTTGTATAAATGTGTATTAAAATGAATGAATGAATGAACCTATATATATATATATATATAATTATAATTATTCAAATTTTTGTTTTGTTTATTTTTTTTTACATGAAATCTCAACACTATTGGCTGGTTGATAACATATCACTTGATGAAATGTCTGTTGTCACTTCTGGAATAGCACAGCTCTCATGTCTCCTGCTTTCAGTTTCAGACGTCCAGTTCGGTGGACTGGGCTCCAGGGTCACGCTCACATGCGGAGGCGCTCACGGCGGGGGCGGTGTCCCGCCTATATTTAGCTC